GTTTTTGTTTCTCCTGTTCTCCCGTTATTGTCGTCGCCATGGTTGCGATGGCGTGCGTGCGTGCGAGCTGCCGGCTCGCTTCATTAAGGAGAGTGATTAAATGTTAAACGACGCACAGCGAATCACACCACCAGGTGCGGATTCTGCGCGTGTGCGTGCGCGAACATCGCTAGTGCTGCTGCTGCTGCTGCTGCTGCTGCTGCTGCTGCTGTTGCTGCTGCTGCTGTTGCTGCTGCTGCTGCTGCGTGCCTTTTACCTGTGTGCGCACGACGAGTGTGTACATGTTGATCAGAGAGAGAGAGAACCGTGGATAGACGAGAGCCGACCGTGCCGCCGCCTCGTTTGGAAGACTAGTGATTTTGTTGTTGTGATTTCGAAACGAAACAATGAGTCGCTATCTTCCCTACGATGCCCGGCAGTGCGACGACCACGTGGCGCCATCTGGTGCGTGTGGTCTCCACGCGACCCCTCGTCGCAGCGAGCCAGCGCTGGGGGAGGAGGGGTGTGGGTCAGCTAGAAGACTCTATAGATCAGCTATATGCTGTGATACGCGTCGAGTCGTTGATTTTGTTGGGTAAACAACGGATGCGCGAATGCCTACGTCGAAAGATCATGGCCACCAAATACATCAGCATTGCCGCTGCCAGTATAACGCATGTGTAACATGTCGTATCGCGTGTGTCGACGGAGTTGTGTATATGTATTATACGCGGTATCGTGTGTTGTTACAGACGCATGTGTAGTGTGTATGGTGTATGTTGTATTATATGTTGCAACGTGTGTGATGACGAAGGGCGTTGTGTTTTTGCAGCGTCAAGCAGCACATGACGGGCCAGGGCAGTGACGATATCTACTAGACCTCGCCACCACGACGCAGAGTGGGGCGTCTTCCACGCCTCACATGCGGGAGGAGGGAGAGCAGCTCGCTCACACCATCACCGAGGAGGAGGAAGAAGAGGAGGAGGAGGAAGCGGGGGGGGGGGATGGGAAAATTTGCTTCGAGCTGGTTTTCATAACTCGTGTTTTTAATTATGCTATTGCTGAATGTGCATGTACATTTGAGCCAGTAAATGTGCAGTGTGCGGGCGGGGCGGGGGGGGGGAGTCACTATGTATTCAGTGTTGTGTTCGCATTGTCTGTGTCAATGGGAGGGTTGCAAGTGGAGAGGTGGAGAGTGTGGTCACGCGGGCCTCCTCCGTCGACGCCATCTAGGGGTCATTTCGTCGGGTTGGTGCGATTTGCGAAGAATGGATTATACTTCTGCTGGCAGTACGAGGTTTTGAGGCTTCGTCGTTGTGCAGAGAAGTCGCTTTACCTTGTCCCCCTGCCTCTGCTCCTGTCTTCACCCCCCCCTTCCCACATTTACTTCCACCCTCTACCCCCGTCGTGCTCCTCCCCTTTATGCTCCCCTCTGCCCTCTCTTCGGTCAACTAGACTCAACACCTTCTTTCATTGTCATTCAGTGCTTCCAAGTTCCTATCAGCAGCGTATCTAGATGTTCGGATTTATCGGTTAGCGTGTAAAGCGGGTGGGCGCAGGGATTGCTGGTGGGCCGACGGTCGTTAAGGTTTGCGCTGCGGTTACCGTCTGCATGAAACATAATAATTATCCGTGCGCGATGATGTCATCAACAATGTGGCGCGTGCGTGATGATGTCATCGATGACGTCATCACTGGGGGTTGTTGTCGTTGCTGTTGTTGTTGTTGTTGTTTGTGTGGACGTCGCCGCGATAACTCGTTCATTCTAAACTGTTCCGTCTTCCGTCTGTGTTTATCGCAGGCGTTTGCAAAGGTACGCGTTAAATATATTTCAATGTGTGTGTATACATCAGTCTTATGGATAGTATTACTATTATAAAGGGAATAAAGACCAGTATTCCGGTAGATGGGTGGCGAGGGAGAATGCGCGCGAGCGTGGCAGAAAGAAGGAAGAAATCGCGTTTGTATCATGCCTGGTAGAAATATAGATGTACGCTAACACTAGTATTTTTGATTAATTTTCCATGTATTTACATGATGCGGCCTCTATAGCGCCGATGACTATGTTGTGCCGTAACTGGGCCATGTCTGCCTGTGGGATCATTCTTTATTAAAATTATTTTGTAATAGCTAGTGAAATGCTCGACAAATTCGCCGATGGGATGGATGTGCGAACGGCGTTCTAGCATATGTAATAATCGACGTTGTTCATATTATGTTCCTTTTAAACGTTTCCATTGGACGAATTCGAGAAGTGTAACCTGAACCCCACCCCGTCCCTCCCTACCGCTCGCTCGTAATTAGTTCAATCAGAGTTCGCTGGATCCGGATTCGGAATATTCCGGTGACGATCAACAGCTACTGTAAACGCGACATTTTTATCATCAGTTCTTTTACATTGATTGCGTGTTGTTGCTAGTGACTAATATTGACGTGTAAACTACTTTTCACAAGCCGTGCGCGTATACCGGCGTGTCGTCATTTGCTGCAACGTACGTGTGCGTCCGTGTGTGCGTGCGTGCGTGTGCGCGCATGCGTGTACGTGCATGCGTCCGCGCGTCCGTGCGTGCGTGTGTGTGTGTCATTAACAACTGGAGTCGCTTGTCGTGTCATATTTCCTTTTGAACGTAGTGCGTCGTCAACACGTAACAAGTAACGCCTCTATGTATAGATATCGCGATGTAAATACTGGCTCGATAGACGCACGTCAATCGCTCAACCACCCACCCGCTGCGCGCGCGAGCAGCGAGTATTCACCCGCACGTCGGCTTGACGACAGGTGGCGCTGACGTGCCCGCGCGTCGATAACCGGTGCTGCACGGCGTCGATTGCTATTGATAGTCGGCGAGCGTGCTCATTAAAATGCGAGCGCACCATGCCCATGCCCGTGGCAGCGGCGGCGCAGATCGCCTGGGAACACGCGCAGGTTGGGGTCGTGTTTTGGTCGGCGAGAGAAAAGGAGAGTGGAGAGGTGAATTGAGTGCGCGTGCGTGCGTGAGCTGTGGTCGTGCAGTGGGATGTCTGTAGAGACATGTATTGCGATTATTTGCGGTATTAGTGGAGCGACTTGCAGGCGTCGCGTTGCTTAGTTACGAGCGCTGTTAGCGCGCGCGGCGCTCCCTGGTGGCGGAGACGCGACGTCACTGGCATAGACGGCTGAATACATGGATGTCAATTTTAGAATAAATAAAAAGTACTTTTTTCTATTTAATCTGCTCTTGATTCGTTGTTTCTCTGGCACCGAGCGGTTGATCTATAAGAAGCTACTGGGATGAGGTGCATTGTTATGATCATAATGTGCTACAGGTTAATTAAGGAAGTCGGTCTCTATTTAGCTCCAAGAAACGGTATTGCTAGGGTTAGAATACTCTATAGACAATCCGTCGCACAGCCTGGTCGGGCTAGTTTCTATTATGAGTACTAGCAGACTTTAATACCCGTACAACCACCAAATCGTGCTTTAAAATATAAACTTCATGTAAGTGACACGTTAAAGTTAAATATTTCATGCAACTGAAAAGAAAACAGAAACAAAAAAAACATTTTGGGAAGAAACAAAGCGCAATTCTATAAGTGAGCAGGGGAAAAGGTGCTCAGTTGGTGACGGTGACCACTTGGTTGAAAGGAAAATACCCCAAAATGTATCTATCCATCCATCCATCCATCCATCCATCCATCCATCCATCCATCCATCCCATCCCATCCCATCCCATCCCATGCCATCCCATGGGATCCGATCCGATTCCATCGCATCCGACCCCATCCCATCCCATCGCATCGGACCCCATCCCATCCCATCGCATCCAATCCCAAACAGAGATGCAGTATAATTCCCACATATGTG